GTCAAAGGACATCAGAAACCTTCTTGTCAAAGGAACAAAGTAAGGTGACTAATAGGAGAGACCATGTGTTTAGTGAATACCTACTACGTGCCATGCATCGTGTCTGATGGATTTACCTCGCAAATTCAAAACTCCTCACAGCGGTCTTGCAGGGTAGTGAGGACTCCTGCCAGTTTTGTAGTGCTGGATGGGGAGACCCAGAGAAGTTAAGCATGGACCTTAATATCACACCGCTATGAAATGACAAAACAGAATTTAAACCCAGATCTGTCTGACTGCAAGCCTATGTTCTCTTTAACGGCCTCTCACACTGAGATTCAGGAAATGAAACTCTGGGAGGGATGGAGGTGAAGGGCTCACCCAGGAGTTGGATCTGCTGTCCCCACGGGGAAGGAAATGAACATTTAGTGATCATCTACTATGTGCCAGGATTTCTGCCCGATCTCTCTGCGCTCTTCCAGCCTCTCAGCAGCCCGAGACAGGGGTCTAAGGTCACGTGCCATTCCAGATGAAAAACTGCAGTGCTGGGAAGTGACGTGACTGCCCAGGGCCCCCAGGCAAATGAGCAGCAAAGCACAGGCTCGAACCCAGAGCCCATGAGGGGTGTTCTAAAGCACAGATGCAGGAAAAGCGCATTAGCCACCACCCGAGCTGCTCTCATGTCTACCTGTCTAACCAAAGGACTTGTCCAAGGCTGGGCAGTGACAACAGTCAGAATAGAGTCCCGTCCTCCCTAACTGTCCACAGCCACTCAGTGCCACCCCCCTCAATCTCTGCCCCTACATTTAGAGTCCAGGCATTGCTTCCGTGACGAAACGCCAGGAAGACCCTCCCCTCTGGTCTTGGCGGGGCTGGAGCAGCCTTTGGTCAACTGTGACATTGGGCCTGGAATGTCTCCTGCTCCCTGCTAAGCTACTGCAGAGGTCTCCTGGGCTCCCACCTCACAAGACCCCCTCCGCCCTGCCTTGTCCTTAGAGTGCCCAGGTCTGATTCCTAGCCAGAAGAGGAGGGGGCTCCCTGGCCATAGGCGGCACCTCACAAGGCCAGCGGGTGCTGAGCCTTTGGTGGAAGGAAGGGGCCTGGGGCCTGTTCCCTGGCATGGTGTGGGGGCCTCTTCCTGGCAGAAGGTTTTCTCACCAGTGACAGCGTGCCCGTTTGAATCTGGTGCTGGTGCCAGCAGCTAGGAACCTCTGTGCCTACAGACTTGGCCATTTGGGGGGGAACAGCTGAAGTGATCCCCAGGAGGGGAACGGTGGGGGACACTGTGGCCCTTGATGGAATATTCTGCAGCCACGAAACCTAAGCACTGTGAGTGTTCAGGAGCCATGTGGGGAAAATGCTTTTTATGTAATGCTGAGTTAGAAAACAAAAAGGCAGGAAGCAAACCTGGATGCGGGCTCTGACTGCAGTGAAGTTGGAAAAGGTGCTCAGGACTACTTATTACTCAGTACTTCCGCACCGCTTGTGGAAACAGGCTGGGACTGGAGGAGAGAACGCTGGTTTGGGATCAGACATTGCTGGGTTGACATCTCTACACTGCTTCTTGAAGCTGAGGGGGAAGTGTCTCTGCTGCCTGGAGTTTTGTTTCTCGCCTAGAAAATCCTGCCGGTGAAGGATTTTGAGAAGTAGTTACGATCCCATGTCCCAGAAGACCTCTGGCCTGAGGCATAGCACACAGGGAGGGCACAGCCAGGGGCTCTTCCGTGGATAAGGGCCGTGCAGAGACCATGGGAAATGCCATGTGAGTTAGGCTGTGAAGGTAGGGAGAAAGGAGGTAGTTTCCTCTTCCTCACAGAACTTTCTATCACGTGGCTGTGGTGTTTAAACGTCAGGTTTTCCGTTAACATCTCTGAACTAGGATGTTCTGCGGGGCCCCTGGAGCCCGCATTTGCATTTCTCTGTTTCTTATGGAAGCCACTTTCCCTGAGCCGAGCTAAAAGCAGTTGGTGGTGTACAATTTGGAGATTGCTTATTACTGTTCTTTCATCTTAAGCATTTTCAATTTGTATAAATAACACATCCTCAGACACTCACTCTGGTCTTTTTACCTCATGTCAGGGCACTGGCCTCTGATGGGGTAGAAAGAGTGCTTATCCCTCACTCCCTGAAGGAAGTTGGATCGTACAATCAAGATTCAACATGTAAACTTCGCAGGTCACTTGGCTGTGTTTTGTCCTAACATATCGCTGGTTTTACAGGAACCTTCCCCTTGTAGAAACAAAGCAGTGTGTCTCCCCAGCCAGCGTTCATTTCAACCACCAGGTCGCTCTGAAAGGACATCTACTTAGGATTCCCAAGCTGTTCGGTAAAGAAATTCTCCAGTTGAGAGAGGATGGGGAAACAGCAGTGATGTCAGGGGGAGAGGAAAGTAATCACATAACCGTGGCTTGTGGGCTTTGGTGCTCAGAAGGACTTTTGATCTGTGGTCATATTTAATGTTCCCTGGAGAGTGTGTCAGCTGTGGGGACCTTGGGGAGGATTTGGCCTGTGGACAGAGGAGGAAGCTGCAGCCCAGAGAAGCTGGGTGGCTTGCACAAGGCTACAGCGTTCATGGAGAACGTGGGCTCTGTGGTCCCTGGGCGGGCCCTGTGGTCCCTGGGCGGCCTCTCCTGATGGGTTACACCAGGTCATATTTCCCCGACTTGTTTGATTTTTGTCCTCCGAAATAGCTCTCCAGTGGGCCCTTGCTCTTATCTTTTGCTTCTGGAGATGACCCGCCGTGTGGCTCTGGGTCCACCCTCTGCACTGCCTGGGGGCCCCTCCCTAGCAGGCGGCGCTGGGCCTGCTCTGCGGAAAGCCCTTCGTGGTCCCTTCTCCCTCCTGTCCCGTACAAGGTTCCTACCAATCAAGGCAGTTTGGGCTGCAAAAATCAGACACCTAGCTCAACCTGGCTTATAAGCCAAAGAGTGCTCTCCTTATCCTCCTTGGGTGAAAGTAACCTCTGCCCTTCTGCCTCCTGCCTCAGAGGCGGCCTGCCCAGATGCCCACTGACTTTGAAATTGGCAGGCCCCCGTCCCTCTTTGGGCCCATTTCCCCACCTATAAAATGGGCTTATCAGAGATGACTTCCGAGGTCTGCTCTAATTCTAACATAACAGAGGCGGCAGGGGGCTTTTATCAAGTGCCTGGTGTGTGCCTGGGCTCTGCTGAGCATGGGAGAATCAAAGATGAAAAGGAAAAGCCCCTGCCCTCCAGGATCCCACCCTAGTATCACCCGATCCCTCCTCACCACCTCTCTGCTTCCCCGTCAAGTATCCATTATTTGTCTTATTTATTCACTATATTTTAACCATCCGAAGCAAGTACACGGAATGTTTCGTCTCTCATTAAAACCTCAAAACTCCAAATCTCTACTACCCTCGAAACACACCCAGAATCTGACCCCCTCTCACCACCTTTACAGGTACCTCCCCAGCCCCCAATCTCAGCCTTCATCACCTGTGCCTGGGATAATCCAGTGGCCTTGCCCTAGCCCCCAGCTTCCTCGGCCACGCCCCTGCCAACAGTCCCCTCTCCGCACAGCAGCCTGAGCAGACTCACCACTTCTCGGCCCGAAACCCCCAGTAATGTCCCTCTCACATAGGATAAACTGGCTCAAGAAGAAACAAGCAGCGACCATGGCACCCCCTCCCTGCCTGCCACCCCTCACTGCTCGGGCCCTGCTCTCATTTGCCTCCACCTCCCCCACCTGCTCACACCACCCCAGCTGGCTGCCTTGCTGTTTCGCAGCCACACCAGCTAATTCCCGCCTCAGGGTCTTTGCACGTGTTGTTCCCGTGCCCGCAAAGCTCTTCCTCCAGCTACCCTCATGGCTCACTCCCTTCACCTCTGCTCAAAAGTCACCGCTTAGAGAGGCCCTCTGTGAGAGTCCTAATACTTCTCTCTCCCCCACCTCCTGACTGCATGTTTCTCTGTAGTGCCTCCCACCAGGTAGAGTATGTTTTACTTTGTTTCTGACTTTGCCCCCTGCCCCAGAATGCCCACTCTGTCAGAGTGGGAACCTTATCCCTCTTGGTGACAGTGCCTAGCATGGTGCCTGGCACACACTAGGTACTCACTAGACATTTGTTAAATGAATGAATGATTAAAGTCCCTTAAGTTGGTTTGTTTTTCTTATGCAGGACCTTGGCTTCAGTCCTTGTATTTTGTCTTCTGTGGATCACTGGCTTCTGTTTAGAGAGGGGCCTCCAGCTTGGCAGCATGGCTTTCTACCTCCTAACTGGGGCATCCTCCCCCACGGGCTTGGGGAGGGGAGCCATGGCTTGCTTGCCTCATCGTCACATCTCTCTTCATTTTCCCCTGTCCTCGCTCCCATTAGTCTCAGTCTTAATGGAAGCCCAGCAACGTGCCCAGAGCACAGTGAACCCCATGGTTGGGTGTGGGAGGAGTGGTCCCGGCGGCGGCCTCTCATTCCCTGAGGTGGCTATTCTTCTGCCACGAATACAGACCACTGTATGCCAGGAGTTGCCTGCGATTTATAAGCACTTGCCATGAAAATAGTACTCGGCTGCTGTTGTGAATGAGCAGCAGAGCCTCGTGCAGTAATGACCCACCCTGCCATCTCCCAGGCTGCCAGAGCCAGTAACTGCCCCTGGGATGGAGGAGGACAGGTGGTAATGATGAAGCCCCCACCTCAACACTCAGCCACCTGAGTTTGTGGCCAGCAGCCAGCTCCTTTGAAAAGAGACCCTCCCAAGATTCTCCAGGTCCTTCGGTGCAAAATTCCCTTAGAAACGAACCCTCCAAGGGGCATGTTCTAGAAAAGCCAACATTGCTTATAAAGAATGCCTTCATCTTCTATGGGTAAATGGGAGGGGAAGTCACAGATCATAGTGACTTTGTTGTGATAGCCTTGGGCAGGCTGGCGGTAGCTGGAAACCTCTCAAAGTTTATTACGGGTCTAATTAAGATGGAATTTAAAATGCAAATGACTATGAAAAGACGAACCTGTTCGCGGAGTTCTGAGGGGGCTCTAACCCTCCTGCCTGTCTCTTCCCGCAGACCCGAGCCCGCCGGCTCGCCTCCTGGCCACCCGGCCGTGCTGTGGCCCCGGCCCCGAGCGGCGCCCAGTCCTGGGCGAAGCGCCGCGCTTCCACGCACAGGCCAAAGGCAAGAACGTGAGGCTGGATGGCCACTCACGCCGGGCCACTCGACGCAACAGCTTCTGCAACGGCGTCACGTTCACGCAGCGGCCCATCCGGCTGTACGAGCAGGTACGGCTGCGCCTGGTGGCCGTGCGCCCGGGCTGGAGCGGCGCGCTGCGCTTCGGCTTCACGGCGCACGACCCATCGCTCATGAGCGCCCAGGACATCCCCAAGTACGCCTGCCCCGACCTTGTCACGCGGCCTGGCTACTGGGCCAAGGCGCTGCCCGAGAACCTGGCGCTGCGCGACACCGTGCTGGCCTACTGGGCGGACCGCCACGGCCGCGTGTTCTACAGCGTCAACGACGGCGAGCCCGTGCTCTTCCACTGCGGTGTGGCCGTGGGCGGCCCGCTCTGGGCGCTCATCGACGTCTACGGCATCACCGACGAGGTGCAGCTCCTCGGTAGGTCGTGCTCCGTCCAGGCACTGGGTCTCTGTGCGCATGGATGTGTATGCTTTTTAATATTCGCAAACACTAAGGGCTCACTTTGCCAAGCCTTGTTCTAAGCAGTTTACACATTTTTTTTTTTTTTTTTTTTTTTTTTTTTTTACTACAACCCGCCATACTCATTTTACAGGTGAGAAAACTGAGGCACGGAGAGGTTAAATAACTTGTGTTGCAAGGTCAGGGCTGGAACCCACAAGGGTTGGGTCCAGAGTCCAGGCCCAGGCTCAGGGTCATTCATACCTCGGGTACTTACTCATTCACTCACTCAGTCTTTTGTCCATTCCTTGGCTAATTCCTTCACTCTCTTGTTCATTTGCTTACTCATTCACTCACTCACGCATGTGTTTGCTCACTCATTCGTGTGTTCATTCACACAGGTACTTACTCATTTGCTCATTCAGTCACTCACACATCCGCTTACTCAGCAATCAAATTTATGCCCCAGTCCTCGAGTTTCTACAGTGGCCACCGTTAAGGGCTCAAGGTCCACTGGGGAGGCAGGCAGACAAGCCTGGCTAGCCCTGGCTCTAACGGAGGAGGCAGCCGCTAATGTTAAAATCCTGGTGGCGAGAATCCTTTGGGAAGAAGCCCTTGAGACCTTTTTTCCCCTCTTTTATTACTTTTTTAAATGATTTAAAATTCACATAACATCAAAGCAACCATTTTAAAGTGTACAATTAAGTCGCATTCAGTTGGAAACAATCACCTCTAGTTCCAAAACATTTTCATCTCCCCAAAGGGGAAACCCATACCCTCAGCTGTCATTCCCCATTCTCCCCTACCTCCAGCCCCTGGCAACCACTGACCTTTGTATTTGTGACCTTAGCTCTTGAACTCACAGGTTACATGTGAGCCAGCCCAACCTTGATTTCTGAGGAAGTGAAGAGAGATCAGGTTTCTCAGGGGATCTGGACACAGCCCTACCTGTCACTTACCTTCAGTAAATACACAGATTTAAAGTTTTTGTTTTTTAAGTTTGAGTTTGGACGGATTTATACACCAGCCATAACCCAAGAAAGCTCCCCTCTTTCTTGGAGGCAGCCCGTGTTCTGATTTTTCACCATAGACTAGCTGCACCTATTCTTGAACTTCATGGAAATGGAATCATACAGTATACATGCATTTCTGTCTGGCTGCTTTATCGCAGCACATTAATTTTGAGATTCATCCGTGTTGTTGCTGTGTGAATCAGTGGTTTGTTCCTTTTTAATTGCCGAGTAGTATTCCATGATGTAGATGTACCATAGCTAGTGTATCTGAATGTCTGGGCTGTTTCTGGTTTTTCTGCCTTGCACCTTGAGGGAAATCTCTGGCCCAGGCTCCTTGCTCTCCACTACTACCCACACCACCATTGGGCAAGGAGGGAAAAGACACGCATCCCAGCTGTGCCCTCCTTCCCCAGAAGAAGGAAGGCAGAACTTCTGAGTGGTTAAGAGTAGAAGATTGGGAGTCACACAGACCTCTGTTCCACACCTGGCTCTCGACTTGCCAGCTGTGTGGGGTTGGCCAGGTGACTAAACCTCTATGCATCTCAGTTTCTTCATCTGTAAAATGGGTTCACAGTAGCACTTACCTCCTGGCATTGTTGGGTGACATGAGGGTATATGAAAGAGCCACAGCACAGTACCTGGCACATAGAAAGTACTCAAGAAATAACAGCTAAGAAATCAGAATCTCTGCCCATCTGCATGTGGGGCTAAGCACATGTCTGAATTCCAGGCTGAGGCAGACCAGACTATGAAGAGCTACCCACCCTGTTATGCTGGGGCCTTACTTGGGCATTTTAACCACGTTGCCCCACACTCGAATTTTCCATAGGTTTTGCATTTCACCTCCAGGAGATGTAGGTTTCTAAAGCCTCCTAGATCTCCTGTCACTCTTTTTTGGAGCTCTCTGTTCAGAGCAGGGAAACAACCACACCTCATTCACCTGCTCCCTCATATAGCCCATGTGTTGGGGTAACCACCAAGAAATCATATACACCCCATAATCTTGCACAAGTGGGTTAGGGTTTTCTGAAAATACAAACTGGAAGGAGCCTTTGATGACTTAATCTGAATAAACCTGTGAGGAGTCATGGACTCTTCCCCCATTCATTTGTTCACTTAGCAAACTTTTATTGAGCCCCCTTTAATGCCCCAAGCCCCTTGGAGGAAAGGGAGAGAACCCCCTGGAATACTGATGTAACGTGGTTGACGTGATCCTCCGTTTCCTTATCTTCGGGTAGTGCCGGAGATGTGCTGGTTGATAGGAAGCCCTGTGCTGCAGGACCAGGTTTCCAGGTGAGATTCAAAGGAATTCCATTTCTGAGTGATAGGATTCTAGGTGAATTTCATTTCTTTATACATCTATGAGTTACTTTACAAAAAAAAATGTGTGAAGAGCTTATAGTGCTTTTACAATGAGAAAGGGCAATAAAGTTATTTTTCTTTCTGAAGGTTACATGAGATAATGGGGAAGTTTCTGGCATGTGATCAAAGCTTAATGTTTCCTTCCCAGGGGAAGAGTAAATTGACATTGGGGACATCTGGGTAAAGGGATTATGGGTGATCCCCACCACTACCACCAAAGTTACTAATGACTCATGATCAGGAAAAAAAAAACTTATAATAAAAATAAGAAAGCTAAGTTTTTATGATTTTTATGGCTTGAGTTCAGGCAACAGATACCCTACTGCTGCTGGCAACAGGGGTGAGGCAACATGAGAACCACAGAAATCCCACCCTAAGTGGGATCTCCCTCTCCCAATTCTTAGAACTGGGCTTTCTAATGATGGTATCTAAGGTACGAAGTGGCTAAATACCAGGCAGCCAGTGTTTGTGCAATCCAGAGCCCTCTGATCTCCTTTTCCTCACAAGGAACAAGGAGGTGACATAGTTCCTTTAGAGATTGTCAGCTGTGAAACTCCAGCATGGAAAACTCCAGAATAGAGACCCCTCACCCATCCCTCACTTCTCTCAGACCAGCAGATAAAGACTGAAAACCGACAAGCTCAAGTGTCATCTAAGTAAGCTTGTCAAATTGAACAAATAAAAATACAGGACACCTCGTTACATGTGAATTTCAGAAAAATAATTTTTTAGTGCAAGTATGTCCCATATACTATTTGGGCCATACTTATAAAAGCATTTGTTTTTCTGAAATTCGAATGTCACTGGGCATCCCGGATTTTATCTGGCACCCCTTATCTGAGAAACATCCCCCCGTCTTGTGGGACAGGGGGACCCTTTATTTGTCCTGGAACTTGAGCTAAAGTTAAGTCTCAGAAAGAAAAACGTTCATAGGCCTCATGTATTTCTTTCACTTGATGGATTTATGTTCCTAGCCCAGCATCCTCCTGCAAGGGGGTCCATCTGCAGACCCCGGTGTCTGGTGTGCCTTCTCTTGTGACCTGCTCATTCTCTCCTCAAGACAGGGGATTTAGCCCCTTTAGATAAAGACTTCAGGACTCAGAGAAGGGAAGTGACTTGCCTAAAACCACCAAGTTTGTGAGTGGCAGAGCCAGGATTAGAACCCCGATGCACCCGTCTGTCGTTAGTTCAGTGGTTCTCAGCTGTGGCTGCATCCAGACCAATTCGATCAGAGCTTCGGGGAGTGGCCCCCAGGCATCTAGATCTCTTAAGGCTCTTCAGGTGATCCCAGGACGTAGCCAGGCTTGTGACCACAACAGTCGCCTTTGCACAAGTGCCTCTTTCTCCTCCCTGCTGGGTGCCGAGCTGAGTTCTTCAGACATGTCAGATCAAGGCATGGGGGTCATCCCTGGACCACAAAAGCCCCTTCTCTTGTTTGACTTTTCTACTTCACCCCCAGCCCCTACTCTAAATTCCCATTCACCCCTTCCCCTGCCCAGATAGTGTTTAGTATTAAAAAAGTGTTTAGTATTTAAAAAAAAAAAAGTAGAGTTTTACATGCCTGGGACTGGGCAAAGAATCACTCCATTGTTCTTTTTTCACTTGCCCCATTTTTAGATCTGTCTGGTTTCTTGTTTCCTAGCAGCTCCTGCACTGATGGACTAGGGCGCCACCAGTCCCCCCACCCAAGCAAACTACATTGCAGGGCACACTCTCCCACGAGGCTGTACTGTGGCTTCTGGGGTTTCCCATTCTCTGGGGCACAGACCAGGATGGCCTTGCTGGATCCCGGAGTGGGCCATCTTGAGAACCTATGATTTCTCTAGATGCTCCTCTGGGCCAAAGAGAAGGGGCTGAGCCCAGGCAAATGACATTCTGTTGAATTACTAGTTAGGAGAGGCAGGTATGGCCAGGTTTCCCCCTCCTCTCCCTGGCTCCTCCGAGAAGCTCTTTCCTGGAGCTCTGGAGTTCAGGCCACATGTCCTGAGGCACCTCTGTCCCTCTTACGGACAACTCAGTAGTGGTCACTGTCATATAGCCCCTTTGTCCTTCCTCTGTCCAGTGGTGGAAGGCTGGTCAGATCAAATAAGCAACACCAGTCCAAGGCCATGGCATTGTGGGCTATGTTGTCAGAAATCTTTGGTTTTAAGTGTCAAAAACCAGTTCAATCTTGCTTAAGCAAGGAAAAAAAATTAATGTCTCATGTGACTGAAAATTCAGGGGAACGACTGCCTGTAAGGCTGGCTTGATGCAGGGGTCCAATGAACAGCACCTGAAATTGGCCTGCCTTTATTTCTTGCCCTGCTGTCATCTTTATTAGCATCATCCTCAGCTGGAATGCCTTTTGGAGGTGGAGGGCGGTGGGGGGGGGCACCAGCAGCTCCATTCCCATGTCCTCATCCCACCAGATTTAACATATCTAGCAGGACAGCTGCTTTCCTACAAGGTCTAGCTAAAGTTCAAGGTTTAGCCTCATTGCTCTCCATTGCCAGGAGGATGTGATACAGTGACTGGCCAAGTTAAGGCCTCCTCCTCAAGGTAATCAGTGGAATTGGGAGGTGGGTGTGGGGGCAGTTCTCTTAGAAGAAAAGCCGGGTGCCGGGA